CTGAACATGGCTAAGGAGGTGTTTTGGCACCTGAACACTTGTGTCAGCAGCCAGCTGCAGAGTACGGTGCTCCCTGTGTGGGCAAGGAACTGCCAGAGGAATTCATGTTCCAAGTGTCCTGGAAGCGTGGTGCCCAGTCCAGTGTGGGCCATCATGAAGGGGGTAACAGGGAAACTGGGTAGTGTCTCTAGGGTGGAGCAGCTTAGGAGAAGCCTCCAAATCCCTGTCTTTCCGTAACTGGAAACCTAAACTCATTGGCAGGTGACCTACCCTTTCAGCGGCATCCATGCTAGCTGCAGGGGGAGGGCTCTAACAAAACATGCATATTCTGCAAATTAGAACTGCATCATTATTTTGAAATACTTGATATAAAATGTTTGATTGTATTCACAATCTATTCACATTATCACAAGAAATTTCAACATTACATTTGTCAAAGAAAGAAAAGAAAGCGCTGTTAGATTTTTTAAATATAATTTCAAGTGTTATACATGTTTGAATAGTTACAAAATGGTCTCACACTCTTAATTATGTACTTGTGTGAACAGAAGTTTCCTGTCGATAGTGACTTTCAAGGATTTGAAGAAACCATCATTAAAAAGCCTTGATTGAGAATTGTGTATGCCCATTTCATGCATACAGCCTGATATAAATAAAAAATTGTGTTCACGGAAGAAAGCTCAAGTTTCTCATTAAATTTTTTGAGATTTTATTGGGAAGTATATATATATGTATATATATTCCATATTTAATATTCTTCCTATTACTTTGTACTTATCTTTCTTATCCAAATTATATCATATAAAGGAAATATAACTTTTTTTCACCCAACTTCCCATAGATGTTCCCAAATTACCTCCAGTTCGCCCCAACGTGCTGTGCAAATTTCATCATTTGCTCTGTGCGCAGAGATGTGAAGTACCTGGGAAGTCTTGCTCTCACCTTCTGATCTCCTCAATTCTTTGAACCGAGTGGGATCCTTCTACCCACTGGGAAAAAGAACAAGGTGAATCTCCATGCCACGCCCTCCAAGAATCTCCCCTCCCCACCTTTCCTCCTTCCTCCCATCTCTTTCCCTCTCTGTGGGGGACCCCTTCTTTAGTGAAAATCTCAGCAGCCTCAAATGGTTGCTATGGCAACCCTAGTGCTGGGAGGAGCAGGGGTGACCTCACTTGGGGATGGGCTTCAAGGCCGAGCTGCCTTCCTTCTTGGGGCAAAATTTTGATGGAGAGTAGGTGGGGCGAGAGCACTGAGGGCTGACCCAGCCTTCCTGAGACACCTGTACTCAGTCAGGCCTGCTGGAGTCACGCCCTGGTCTGGGGTCCCCAGACACCTGGATCCACGAAAAGCTTCAGAGTCACACCAAAAGGATAATTCATTCTAAGACCATGCTGACCACAACTGGTTTCAACTGGACTCTCTTCTAAGACCTTAAGGGTATATCTTGTCCCACCCCTTGTACTAGTAGCAGCTTGAAAATGACTTCTGCCTCTAGAGTTTCATAGTGCAACTCACTGGTGCAGTGGTGTGAGACTTATGCCCTGGCTTTGCAGTCAGAAAGACATGGGTTCAAGTCTTGGCTGTGTCACTTAACAGCTCTGGGATCTTGGGTAAGTCATTTAATACACCACGCTGCAGTCTTGCGTAGATATATGGTGGGATATGCATGCCACACAGAAGCGGATACATTGTCAAACTCTCAGCCCAGCATGTGGCATGAAATAAGTGCTCAATTAACGAGGATTGGTGATGTTACTATTTCTTTTTCTTTGAGTTGCTCTCCTTTTCTTTCTTTTTTTTAACAGTCAAATTCTGGCTGGAGTCCAGGTGTCTGTAGACCCCTTAAGCTCTTTGTATAAAGCTGATACCCTAAGAAAACAGTATCTCAAAGCAGGAAAAAAACCAAACACTGCACACATAAATCAATAAATATGATTACTGTGAGGATCATTAATAAGGGAAAACACTAGGAAATACCCAAGAGAGCCTGTTATAGAAAAATAACACTAAAACTGTCATCTGACCTAGAGAATGGTACGTACTTGACTCAGGGTCTTGAAGCACACTCCAATGGTCAGTGGTGTTTGATGACGGACTCTTGAGCTACTCTCTTGAATGTTATGGCTAGAGAGGAATTGAGTCTGTTTTAAAGTTTGTTATTTTTTGGCAGCANAGCTCTTTGTATAAAGCTGATACCCTAAGAAAACAGTATCTCAAAGCAGGAAAAAAACCAAACACTGCACACATAAATCAATAAATATGATTACTGTGAGGATCATTAATAAGGGAAAACACTAGGAAATACCCAAGAGAGCCTGTTATAGAAAAATAACACTAAAACTGTCATCTGACCTAGAGAATGGTACGTACTTGACTCAGGGTCTTGAAGCGCACTCCAATGGTCAGTGGTGTTTGATCACTGACTCTTGAGCTACTCTCTTGAATGTTATGGCTAGAGAGGAATTGAGTCTGTTTTAAAGTTTGTTATTTTTTGGCAGCAGACTAGTAATTAATAACTAGCCAATAATAAATAACATTCATGTTTTAAACCTTAACACTGGCTGAATATCCCTTATCTGAAATACTTGGGACCAGAAATGTTTTGAGTTTTGGATTTTTTCAGATTTTGGAATATTTGTAGAATACATACTGGTTGAGCATCCCTAATCCAAAAATCCAAAATACTCAGATGAGCATTTCCTTTGCATGTCATGTCAGTGCTCAAAAAGCTTCAGATTTTGGAGCATTTCAGATTTCAGATTTTTGAATTAGGGATGCTCAGCCTGTATATAAAATAATGTTTCGAGTTGGGTTCTGTAGGAAGCAGGCTGTGAGACAAGTTTAGTGTGCAGGATGTTTACCAAGGTGTGTCCACGAGATAAACACCATGGAAGTAGGATTGGGCAGAGGGAAGTAAAGCTGGGAAGCAAACCCAAGGACAGCCTGGGCTATCCCCAAGGGGAGCTCTTCAGCTAACACAGCCCCATCAGAGTTGTCTGCATGAGCCAAGATGAACAGGTCTTTATTCTGCCCACCTCTTTGGTTAGCCATTGAATACAGACCACCCTGGGAAGGGTTTGACCTCTGGTGGTGGCTCTCTGCAGCTGAGGCAGAAGCTGAGGGGGTGCTCCCACAGCAGAAGCACCAAGCCCTTTCTTGAAGGAGGGTCTGGGCTGCCCATTATTGTGTTCATCACAAAAGGTGAATTGAGGCTGGGCTAGGGGCCTGGAGGCTTGTTTGATTACTCTGGATATTATAGTCACTCCTCAGGAACATCCACAGAACCCCTAAATTTAGCAAATCACCCAAACTATAGCTCAACATTCCTTTTCCATTGATTAGCAAACCAAAGCTCAGCCCAAAGTCCTCCAGTGAGTTACTGACAGACTCTCTCAGCCAGTCTGTGCCCCTTCTTCAGGCCTCAGCTCAGATGTTGCCTCCTCCAGCAAGCCTTGTGGGCTCTGCAAACCGTGCTGGGTGCTCCTGTCATACGCCGTCCCTGCACCACTCACCCTCCATCCATGGCAGGGTGCCACCTCTCAGCCTCATTGTCCTCCATTGCCACTACTGTGAGCTTCTGGAGGGCGGGCATAATCAGCCATCCTCTGTGGGCCCCTCGTGCTAGGCAGAGGGAAGTGCTCAGTGGTGGACGTTTGCTGAACAGACAGTGTTTCTTGAGCACTTATTTCGTGCCAGGGACAGTTGTGAGGGCTTTGTATGTATTTACTCATCAATCCCCCATGAGGAAGCTGTGCAGTGAATCCTATACTTAGGAATGAATGAATGACCAACCGTCTTAATTATAGTCCTTGATGGCTCTGCCCAGGGAGTCTGGGGCCTGCCTGGCCATATCTGGAGAGAAACATTAGGGCCTTTCCTCTTTCAGTACTTTGATCCATCTCTCCTGCTCCCTAAGTTACAGACCTCCAGGCTTTTCAGGTTCAATCTCAGGAAACTCAGAATTGATTTAAGCCCCTTCTCAATTCCTGACATTCACACCACTGGTCCAAGTGAGGATATGTGGGCGAAGTTCTCTGTTACTTTCCTGTCCTACTCCAGGGCTCTTCTCCTGTTCCTGATGTGCTTGATATACTTTCTTTTATTTTTATGATTTTATGAAACCTGTATTATTTTATGTGCATGTATTTTAATTTATATAAATAGTATTGTGCCAAAGACCTAATTCTATTTTTTTCTCTCTCAGCGTTATGTTTTTAAAGATTTATCCAGGTTGCTGTATGTGCCTCTAGGCTGTTGCTTCTAATTGCTGTAACCACCACATTTATGCATTTCCCAGCAGTGGAAGCCTAGATCTCTTTCTCCTTTCCTCCCTGGAACAGCCCCCAACTCGAGATCCTCACAGAGTCCTTATTGATCTGCATGACAATTTCTCTTGGATCTTTATCCCCAGGGAATTTCTGGTAATGGCATATATGCATATTTAATTTGACTAAATAGACTCACACTTTCTACTCTTAAAGGGCCTTGTACTCTTCAAGCTCCATAGCTCGCTATACTGTGAAATCTCCCAATTCTATGATGCCAGAAAATAATTTTACAGAAAGTTTTTTGGAAGCATTTTGCCAACCAAACAAAAACAGGAGATGGATTCACCCCATTGGTCTCCAGTCTACAAACTCTGAGTTGGTGTCCCAGACCGGAACCAGCCCTGACCTTGGCCTTTGCATGCAGAAATCACTCGTTCCTGACAGTCTTCTCTACAGGGGTGGGGGCAGGCTTCACACTAACAAGCCTTGAGCAAAGCTTCTCCCAGCCTCAAACAGTCCCATGTCAGAACCCCCAAACCCAGGCTTGTTTGTGGGTTCTCTATGTCGTGAGGAGAGACATCGGCTGCCCTTACCCCTTGCCTGTCTCCTCTCCTAGTCTTCAGGGACCATCACTCTGTCAGGGAGGATGAGATGTACCAGACAGGAGGTGCTCCCTGCCTGTGCTCCCCCAGACAGCTCCAGCTTCTTGCTGGCAGCCCCACCCTGGAAGCTGAGGACGGGGTGGGAGGAGGCCTGGGGAGGGGAACTGTCTTAGTTCAGGCTGCTATAACAAAATTTTGTAAACCGAGGGGTTTATAAACAAGAGAAATTTATTTCTCACAATTCAGGAGGCTAAAAGTCTGAGATGAGGGTGCCGGGTGGTCAGGTTCTGGTGAGGGCCCTTTTCCAGTTGCAGACTGCAGACTTCTCATCGTGTCCTCACATGGCAGAAACAGAGTAAGAGAGCTCGATGGGGGTCCCTTTTATAAGGGTGTGAATCTCATCAAGAGGACCCCTTCCTCATGACCTAATTACCTCCCAAAGACCCCACCTCTAAATACTAGCACATTGAAGATTAGGTTTCAACATACGAATTTTGGGGAGACAAAAGCATTCAGTCCATAACAGAGACCCTCGGTGCCTGCTCCAGTTCCTCCAGCGAAAACAAGGATTGCTGTTGCTCATACCCGTGAAAGTCTGGGAGAGCCGTCAGCAGCAGAGAATGTCCAAACCATTGCGTAGCCTTTGACAATAGCCACAGGTGACCAGAAAGTCAACATCTTTTTTTTTTTTT